TGTAAATTATTGCACCAACATGTGAGCAACAGCCAATGGTTCTAAATACATTCGGACATTTACAGCAATGGTATATTATACCACTCAAACTCATCTATCGTGATCAGTATTGAATACAAGATCAGAATACTTAACTTCTTATGTGCTAAGATCTTATCCTAATTTTAATATTATCTTGAGTCTTTTTGGAAGAATTCATACTGATGCTGTCAGTGTTATTCATTAACAATGCTAAATAAAATGTAGCTTCAGATAATTAGTATGATCCTCTAAAAAAATGTCTTAATTTTTCTAAGTTTAATCTGGAGAATCGAATACATCAAACATAAAAATTAAAGAAACAACATTTTTTCTGCTTTACCTACCATTTTCAACTACTATCGCTTAAGTTCGACATTGTCGTACTTCTGGAGATTTTTAGGAACTTTTTTATTTGTAGAAATGATAGAATTAATTTGTTTTTTAAATAAATTTGTTCAAAAACATTAAATTTGACAATGTAATGAAGCAAGATAAGGCAGTCGATTGTTAAACTAATCATCAAGTAGTCAACTGTTAAGTTAATGATGAAGCAGTTTAAATATTTAAATTACTTTACCATGTACTACTTTCAGTAACCATCAAAGGACAGGGACTGAGCAAGTGTGATTTGCTTCTGCTGCTGTTATTTGTTTAAATTTTCTTATTCAAGGAGGCAGTAAAACACTAATACTCTTGCTTCCTAGATTCTCTATGACACCACGAAATCCTCTATCAAATATCAAAAAACAACGTTTTCTTGTAATAAGTCTTGTTATTCACTATTATTTTTTAACAATTTTCTTAAAATCCAAGAATTATTTTTGAACTGAAATGAATATAAATTGAATCGTAAAAAGGTTTTTTTTGACGAGCTTGATACTCATTATTTGCACTCTTTCAAAGTCTTAAATAAGTACCACCGTTGATTGTTACCAACTAGTAGTAGTATGTATTTTCTTGGCACATCTTCCTGACTTCTAGCTTTCAATCTAAATAAATGGGTAAAAAATCTCTTTTAAAAGTTCGTAAAATGGTAGCTGCAAAATCTAAGACTTGTTGAGGGCCAAATTGTTGAGGATGATCAGGGCCAAAAACAACAGAAACCATTTCGTTTGATTCTTCACTTTGACGATTAAACAAAAATACAAATAATGCTTGTGTGTTTGTCCGACTTTCTAAATTTATTGAAAATGATATGAATTCTTCTAAAGTGAAATGGAATTTTCATTAGTTAAGCCAATGAAAGCTTGAAGGCGTTTGTCTTAAAGTGTAGAATTACTGATTTTGTCTGTGAGATGTAAAAGATATAATCCACTAAGGCTTTACTAAAAATTTGATAAATATTTCGTTTGTATGATGCCAGTATGTGATATCAGGTGAAATTTTAAAGCTTTTAAGTAAAAAACTTTTCTTCTATAAAATGACTTAAGCAACAACGGTTACCACGTGGTATAAATATTTGTAAGTCTGTAAGAGCTTGCTTTCATGCTTAAAAAAAACATTTTTTTATGACGAAAGACATGCCACAAAGAAAGCAAACTTGATTTATGACTATTGTTCGTTTGAAAGGTTTTTCAACAATATTAACCTCATGATTTTCTTATTTCTAGATTGTAAATGATGAATCGTCACCTGAATGTTGTGAATACGCCATAGCAGATGTTTTATCTCAAAAATAAGAAAAAGCTGTATTGTTTTTCAACTTTTATTTTAAGTTCTTCAGTTAAACTATTACAGACAATAAGTTGTGACATTTCTTATGCATGATACCTTCTTATTTCTTTTATAAAATATCATCAACAGTTACTTTACAATTTAAGAACTACGGTACACAATTGGCCTCTTGAATTTTTTTGTCTGTTTCTAGCCACCAACTTTTTTTACATCCGTATTGCAATCTGCACAACTTCTATCTTCAGTAGATTACATGTTAAAGTCAATCAAAAAGTTGAAATTAAAATCAAAAATACAATTTCTTTAATAAAAATTTCCAAAATTTTCTTTCTTTTAAATCGTACCTGTGAAATTATCAGTCAGTGTTGTTATAAAAAAATGGTATCAATAAAGTTTTAATAAGCCATGTTATACTATTATATGTTATAATATTATACAATATCTGTTAAACAAAATCGAATATAGTTCAAGGTAGTATGCAAAAAAATAATCATAGCTATAATAGTGATTCTTACGATGAAAAAAGTTATTAAGCTTTTAATATAATAAATAAAGAATTATTTGCAAAAGGAATTTCAAAAAAAACCAGTAAATAGTGGGTTGTTAGGTATTCAAAAAGTTACACGTCTATGAAGTTCCATGGCAGGTAATATATAATTATAAATATAAATTCTATGAAACGATATAACGAACTAAAGTAGTGCATTTATTATTGGAACAAGTATATATGTACGCTAATAAGGTGTGGTTTAAAAAAATTTCATATTACTCATTTAATGAACGATTATAAACAATTGTTAAGTGGAGTTCTCTATGGCTGTCATGCGTAACACAATATATTAAGCAGATAAAAAAAGTTCAAATTAAAGCTATTTCACGACGTGCTGCCAGGCTTGCCGGTACAAGACTGTGCACTTTCATTGAACCTTCCGATGATTTCAAAACAACTTAACACCGATGCTTATTTTATTCCTAACATCATGCTAATGAACTTATTTCTAGTTTATATTTAATACTCATATTATATTTGTATCTAAAAACCTAAAAAAAACCATACTGTAGAACCAGCTGCAGCTGTCTCGTCATTATATTTTGTATGTCATTATGTTTTTCAACAAGATTATATTTTTGTTTCAAGAAATAATATTCCGTGAGCCCTTGTTTTGTGTGTAAGAATTATAAAATACAAAATGATACTTAAGACAAATTGCGATCTATAAAAAATAATTGTTCTAACCCTGTCCCATAAATATAGTCCAAACAAGGCACGGGTAATAAAGCTAAAAGATCGCTGATATTACATGGAGTATACGTATTACCAAAGAACTCTATATTTCAGCTGTTTTAAAAAAATTTAAGTTAATACCTTGAGTGAACATTTCTTAACAACTTTGGTGCTAGAATTTTTTTCAAACTGAAATTTGTCACTCTACTTTTTCTGTTGAAGTTGACTTTTTTTACTATTAACTGGTCGTCAAATATGCGTTATTACATTGATAAATTAAATGAGTGACAATCAACTCATCGGCGAAGCTAAGCTATTCTCTGAGCCCATTCCAATTTTGAACCAGCTTTGATTTGAAGTTGCTGAGAAAGCGTGATACACACTCTAAAAATCTATTGAGATTGCAAAAATTCCGAAAAAATTAATTTTTTTTCTCGGAGAATTTTAAATACGTAAGAAACTTTTGAATTCAAAAAAAATTAGAGTTTTTCTCGATAAATTTTTTTAAAGTGATTAATAAATTTTAAAAAATTGATTTGTTAGTCGCCAAAAAAGTTATGTTTCAAGCGTCAGGCAAGTTTTTTGATCTGGATCCACAAATGTGTTTCACACTTACCTTTATTTTTGGTTTGGAAGAGTAATCTGGTAAGTTGTTGCAGTATTTGTTGCTTATATTAATATCGGCAGATGTTATTACTTTAGAATTTATTCGTTTTAGAAACTGAGGCCGGAGTGTACAATATTGGCTGAAGCATACACTACTTTAGATTTTCAAATGAATCATTAAAATATCTGAAAAACGGGAGATTTCAACATATTAAATAAAAATCGTTTCTTCAAAAATAGTAAGTGTCAAAGTATAGTTAATTTGATTTAGATAATAAGATGGATTCTCATTGTCTAAAAATACATGAGCAACTTCTTTTTCAGCCTTTCTGCAAAAAAACAAGAAATTCAACTTCAAATAATTCGGTGCGAAGAGCCACTGCGTTAGTGAGCATAGTTATTGGCTTCGGGATACAACTTTTATTTTAAGTTAACTGCGAATGTCCAGATAATCAGCAAGCCACTTTATCAACTTTAGGTGTTTATTGAACCATACATTTCAGCAAGAACGTTCTATCCTGATGAAAATGGTATCGTGCATCATCAAAGACAAATTATAGGCAGAGGCAAAGAAAACTCGTTTTATTCGTAACAATAGCACAGGGCTGTTTGTTATAGTTATAAAAAAAGAGATTTATCTTTATTACATCTATTATAGCTACTACGAAATTCTTTTTTTAAACATCTTATTTGACCTTGAAATTTGTAATGTTACTGAACTAACGAAAATAATATAATCTGTATATACGAGCTTACACCGTATTAATTGTAAGAATTAGACTCTTCAACTAATGAAAAAAATTAACTTAGTGCTTTAAAAGTATTTAAACCAGATCTTAAATCACGTAATGTGCTGCCTTGCAACACTTTGAGCAAGGAGTACTTACTTGTTTAAGAGATGCGTAGTAAGTTGCTTAACGAACTCTGTTATAAGCGAAGGCGTTAAAGTTACTTAAGACAATTCTATTGAATATTAATTTGGTTCTTAAAAGTATTTTTTACCGTTATTAAATGTTTAGAACTATTTTTCATTTAATCATTTAACATGTTTCATTCTGTAGTTTAAAAAATACCCAACATATTTTTGGAACTTCGTTAAAACTTTTTAAATGATAAGCATGTTCTCAACAAACAATAATTTTATTCCATGAATATCAATTTTTTCACTATGTATTTTTAATACATGTTTCTCACACGCTCGATAAGGCTATTTCGACTGTTTCTAGTATCTCTAGCCGTATGGAAAAATTTTACAGAACGATAACAGTAGGTTCATTCGTTGGGTTTTAAGAAAAACTTTATTTCCATCCGAAAAGAATTTTTTTTTTTTTCTTACCTATAGTGTTTGTCTCTTTTTAAAGTTGATATAAGGAGTTAAATATTTATAACGTCATAAGAGTGAGACAGAAGCTTGTTTTTAAAGTAACCCTTGACTAAATTTTCTACTTAAAGGCACCAATTATTTTATACTTACATTGATAACAGCAAAAACATTTTGAAATGTCATATTCGTAAGGAAAATAAATAGAGCTCCATTAATATTCATAACTCCATCTTGATCAATTTTTTGATTGAGGTAAACTATTCCTATAAGAATGGACACCATCTAAAACATAAATTAAGATTTCTTACTTGGATGAAAATACTAAGCAATATCGTTTATAAGTCTTTGGTTATAATAAATAGAAGATAATATGTTTAACACTTATCTCTAACACTCAGATAACGTAGTTCCCAAATATCTCACGAGTGAGATCCCTATCTCTAAGCAACTGGATTTCTACCTGACTTACACTGTTTTTATGTTGTACTTTTTAACGTTTTACTGTTAAACGTGTACAATTATTGAATGAGTGAAAAAATATATTATTAATCTACTCTACTATTTATTTTCTATGGAAATATATGCCTGTTGAAGCGTGTTCCTGTACGTACTTAAATTTGAACGTAAATTATTATCTTAGTATTAGCTCTGCAAACTGCATGAAAATCACATGTGAGTAAGCTATAAAATGCGGCAAAATCTTTGTACAACATTTATGGTAATCTTGGATCAGTTATTTAATAAAATAAAAAGACAGAATTTACTCATGATAGGATCATTCCATCAAAGTAGAAAAAAAAAGGTAAGTTTAAAATGATGTTTCAATATGCAAGTGTGTGTGGAGGTTGAGGGTATATATATGTGTTTAACGTTTTCGCCTAGCCCTTTCAGCAGCAGGGCTCTTCAATAGGAACATTGTTTTTCATCACGTTACCATCTTAGATATAGTCCCAAGTGATATTTAGACAAAATTTTTGGCTTCTTACAAGCGTGCTTATAAGTCACCTAATCAAAACGAAATCTAACAAAAGGATGATAATACCTAATGTTATTGGAAGATAAATTTATCGCTGTAATCTACAATCCATGGTATTTTATAAACTTAAGAAAAAACATTATATATTAAGTATTCAATTACATAATAGTCGTGCTAATTGTCACGTTATTTTGATAAAATTTTCAATGATTCCTTGCTGCACTGATCTACAAACTATTTATTGTAACTTTGTGTTTGAGCTGTGGCACGTGAAGAACGCGCGTTTCTTTACTTTCGATCCCAAGCCTTTTTTCTTAACTGATGCTTATCTTAAGTGTTGTTATTTAGCAAATAATTTTGCCTTATGCATAGTATTTTGTGGATCGAATTTAAAAAATAATACACTTATTACCCTATGTCTGACTATTATCTGCGAGTTTGTTGGTGAATCATGTTCTATATAAGAATTCTAATTTTTTTATTCGGTATCCCTTATCTCTTGGAAGATCTCAACACCCAGAAATAATACGTGCTTCAAAACTCAAACTCCGACAATATCACTCTGGCCATTCTCGCCTAATTTGGTTGAGAATATTCTGAGGCTTACAATAGCAGTCAAACTCTTATCATAATATAATACATTCTGAAAAACTAAGGTTTATTTGGCATTATAATATAGGGCAAGATAAAAGATAGTGCGTATTGTTGTAAAAATCTCGACAAGTACTGTATAAACAAGAAAATTTAAAAAAAAGTGTCACAGTAGAATTAAAGTCATTTTTTAAACCTGTAAGGATACTCACCAAATTTGAATTAACTAAGAATTAATTTACTGTAACTATATATTTATTTTTCGTTATCGTCTCATAAAGAATGTGACGTGGTAGCTGAAGCTATCACGTTACTGTATACCTATATTTCGGGGCAAGTCATCAGCGGCTACAGAGTCCTAGAATAACATATATATTTTCTATATGTACATTGACAACACATTAATTAATGTGTGTTCTCGGTGCCGCGGACTACGAGCAAGAGGAGAAAGAAGGACCAAAGACCATAAAATGGATCGAAGTGTGTAAGATATGATTGGGTGGGCATGTGTGTAAGATACAGAAGGAGAGGCAAGGGCTCGTGACACGTCAGAGAGGTGTGAGCGCCGAGCGGCGGCGTCGATTCCATAGTTTTTGAAACCTCCAATAATTTACCAGTTTTTAGGCGTGTTGGAGATTTTTCGGATACACGGGAGGGGCGCGCGCATCACACATTGAAGTGTACTGCCATAACGCAGTCAGTATCGCGTGTAGCGGCATAGAGAGCAGATAGGAAAGAGATAGTGATTGGATATAGGACAAAGTGACAGGTAGAGCTGAGAGTGAGGAAAGGGATCCAAAAAGAGAGCATAGGAGAACACCGAACAATACTGCCCGAGAGTTAACCGTGCCACCGAGTCTACGCAACGATTGAGACAAACTCCAGATAGGACCGGGTGACGGCGAGGACAGAGAAGGTCTTTTCACGGAGGACGGGGCACTAGGTGTTATTTTGAGGTAAAGATTTGGGGACGATACGATTGAGTCAGGATAAATGGGTGTAGGATCAATATATGGATAGGAAAGATTAAATTGAGCGAAAGGTATGCTTGAGTTTGTGTCCGTATGTGTGTGTGTAGCCTAGGTGCCGGCCACCAACAGTCGAGCCAGGAAGGAGTTCGGCGAAGAGGATGACCGGAGGTGACAGCACGAAGATATCTACCTCGAGAATAGTGTGCCAATATAAATATATATGTAAAGGGAGAGAGAGAGAGACGCGACGTTGTGGAGAGTGTGCATTAAGGTGAATAAATAGCGCGAGAGCGCTGTGAAAATTTATATCCACGAGTGTTTATTGAGAAGTAGTGCCCCCATTTGCCCCCTTCTATTTTCCTTTTAGAAGTGTCTGGTGTTCCCGAGCCAGACACCTGTGGCAGACCTCCCGGAGGAGACATATCCAGAGTGTAGGGACATGGTAAGAAATTGAGTGAGAGTTTTGTGAGGGGATCCAGGACGGCTGTGTATCGGCTATAAAAAGCCTCGTCACAAGAATAGCATAATAAAAAGTGTTGATTTTGATGTAGGAGATAGTAAAATTGTACAAGACCTTCAGTCTAGCATGAAAATTTACAGTATTTGGAGAATTACAAAGAAGAATCCAAAATTTTTACACAAGTACCTAACAATAAAATATACCATTGTGTCTTTACATTAACAAGAGCTTGCTAAATATTTTTATTCATATCACATCATACATGATGTTTAACCGTTCATGAACTCTCCGAGAACATGCTAAAATTGCTACTTTTCTGGACATACTTTCAATAACTGTTACAAGAAGCCTAGCTACAGGACTTGTAATGATAAAAAGCATGACAAAGAATAGCATTGTAATACCAAAAAATGTGTTTCAAGTGAGATCCCACACGGTTGTCTAGACTTATCATGTCCCATTATGATAGGACGACATGTCATGATATTTTACTATCCTAGTAAAATTATATATAAGTACAACTATGTTATTCATACATGCTCAAGTGAAACAGTTATTGCTCTAACTTAGTTTCATACATGTCGTCTAGAAATCTTATGAATTACACTGATTAGTCTGTTTGTAATGATCAGTAAAGTACCAAACACTTTAGTGTATTATTTAAACTCTTGACAAGCCAATCTCTGTATACCAAGAAATCATAATCAATTAACTTGATTTGCAGAGACTAAACTAAAATTAAAACTTTTTTAAAAATAAATTTCACTATCTTATATTAAACTATTATGAGTCCATATTTTTAGTTGATAAATATCATTTTTTTTATGATTAACTTCAAAATACCGTTACTTATTGTACTAAAGTGGAAGAAAATTTCTCCAAAACTTTAAAATTTCTTGTATAGCAATCCGATAAAATCAAAATATGTGAAGCCACACCATCAGATATTTTTTCTTATAATCCTGACAATCTAACCCTCTATAAGCAGCGATGTTGGGTGCTATCAAATTTTTTAAAAGTGAAAAAAAACCCATACTTTTTTTAACATGCTAAGCTATAACATGTTTAAACTTAATTACTTCAGCTTCCATTTCTTGATGATAATTCATGAGGTATTATGTAGGTGTAAAATGTAATACTTACTAAGATTTTTTTTACATGGTAATACAATGCCTAATAAAATTTATAAAGTTTGATAAGGTTATTAAGTTTTATAATACAAGCTATGGGCTTTTCGGTGTGATCCTATTTTCCAACTCTCATATATTTTGACACTCTGTAGCAACCTCTCTATTGCATTACATATATTTATATATATAAACGTATAATTGCAAGTATTAGTCGTGTCCATCTACAGCTAAGATCTAGTGATCTAACACGCCGTACTAAAGATCTTAGCTAGCGCTTGAGAGCGATAGCAGATTGTTTCCACTTTTTTTCCTATGATTTCCCTTCTTTCCCTACCTCTATTTATAAGCGTCGATTATAAATTAAACGTTTGTAGAAAAATTATTCTCGTGCCATAGTATGCTAAGTGTGCGTATTTAGTAATAACCTCGTGAAAAATTATAGTAGGCTTTGTATAACCATGTAAAACAAAACTTAGTGAGTATTATATTTTTACATATGTTGCATACATAATTTTCATTATAATCTGTCTTAAAAAGAAAACTTTACGTCTTATAAAAAAAAATACCACACTTAGTTCTTTATCAATTTAACAAAGAGATCTTTACACTGAAGCTTGGTTAAATTTTAAGTTTTTGGGTGTAATTTTTAAAAAAATTTTTTTCTTAAAAATAATTAGCCCATGTATATAGACGACGTTCAGTCACTTTTATTATTACTCATTTTCTGCATGTTATCTAATAAAGAAAGTTTTATAATATACATTATTGATTACGCCTCTTCTATTTATCATCCAAATAACATTATCATTTGAAAAAACTAGGAAAAAGGCGGTGAAAACGATATGGTTTCGTTTTCAACCACTAGCTGAACTCTTCAGTACGGCGTGTTAGTGATCTTAGCGGTAGACGGATTTTGCTAAATCCATCATGATTTCATTTCACCCTGATACCTAATGCATTAACTGTAGGTACTTATTCCATCACTTTCATTCTATTGTTCTGACTTAAAAACAATAAAATACAGTTTTAGTTTTATCACTCTTCTTTTTAAAAATCATGACTTCATGGTTGATTTATGAAGGTCTATCGCGTGCTTTTATCATAGTAAGTATAAGTGGAATACGTACTTATTTTTCATAGCTTAGCCTATTTTGTAAACGTATTTTTGATAAACTCTAACGCAGTTGCCAGTATCTCAAACAAAACCCTAATGATGTGACTTGAAGCTGTGATTTAAATGCTGACCAAAGATGGATTATGCTAAGTGAGTAATTGTTGCAACACTTGAGCCCATCAAAACAAGCTCCACAACTTGTGTAAGGGTCTGCTTTGACGAAGCCAAAGTGTTGCATGTAAGTATTTGTGAGGTAGGAGTTTAAAAAATTGTTGAGCAGAGGGGAGAACATGCGAAATCTAAAAGTTACGGAAAGAGAGAAAGAGAGGGACATAGAGAGAGAGAGAGAGGGAGAGGGAGAGAGCGAGACATACGAAATCTTGTAGACGTGGAGAGCAACGCGGTGTAATATTATAAACATCCTATAACATACGAAAAATAATAATATAAGATTATTGTACAGTGTGTATAAGAAAAGTGCGACCAAAGACGCTATTTCCGGGGATCGCAAGGTTGATGGAAGTGGTAGAGAGAAAAACAGATTTACACATCACTGCTTGAACTGTAATTTTTCGAAGTAGTCCCTAAAAATAGTAGAGTCAATCAGTGACTTTCGGACACTTCACCCACAGTTTGCTTATAAACACTTTATTAATTGACGGAATCAGAGTGCTACCTCTCGACCGACACAGATAGCAGAGACGTGGCTGGGACACGGTTTTTCGCTGCAGTGGTTAATCAGCTTTATTTTTCGAGAAAATTATCTTAGCAATGACTCTCTAAAGCCACTCACCAAATTTTGATCAATGCATGGAGTACTAAAGTATACTGATAAGTCGTATGACTTGCCACGACGCCATTGCGCTAGCTCTTTTCTAAAACGCTCATAGACACGTGAGCTGCGCGTGGATTGCCGAAACAAACTGATCAAGTATACGAGCTGCTTTTCTGTATACTACTTAGCTTGCCCAAAACCATCGTGATCTCACGAACGGTGTGCGGAGGTTTAACTACAGACATTCAGTTAAATTATTGGATTACCTGAAGTCAGCACATCCTTAAAAGTGTTACCATAGAGTTGTAGCTGCGATGTTGAAAATGCTAGATATGAAAATAATCATACGTAGTAATATAATACGCTATAGATATGAGATCGAAGGTAGATCGCCTGACCAATCAAATTCTTTTAGCTAGCCACGTATCAACATGGCACATCGACACTCTATCAACGAAAGTCAGCACATTCCTGAAAGTAAGCCGTCGAATACCCACTATGTTATATGAAGTAACGATTGTTTTACAACCGTTTTTTTCAAATTCTTGAGAAGTCAAGGTGATAGATACTCTATACAAAATAATCAGCACATTCCTAAAAAATAAAGAGATGGCTGATTATTATGTGATATAGGACAACGTTTGTTTTACACTTATAAAAACAAAGTGTTTGATTTTTTATACATAAGAGTCAGCACATTTCTTTAAGTAAGGTAACGATTCTTTTCTACTTTGATGATTAATAAAATGAGACGTCTTTTGACTCACCAGGGAAAAATCGACCAATCATAATTTCTTGCGAAAATATTATATTAATAGCACAAGGAAGAGGTTCAGCCCTTAGTATCGTTACAACATTAACAATCAAACTCATTACGAAAGGTTATTTGATAAGCGGGCTTAGATATTAATGTATTTGGTCACTTTGTACTCGTGTCAGCGCATTCTTAAAGCCATTGCGACGAGTGTTTGATAGAGCTTGATACATGTTTCGGAAACTGTGACATTAGCACATTTTTTACCACGAATCCTTAACTTTGAAAAAAAACATCTTGATGTCAGTTACTCGTGTGACTTCAACCTCAAAACTTCAAAACTGCCAAAAAAAGGACACTTTTTAACAAGGTAATCTTGATCATGCGCAATAGCTGCTCCAACGACCGCAACATTACAAGCCGATTAGTCACGCAAGCCATCCATGAGCGATGGCGGCGTCAGTGGTGGAGGCAGTGGCGAAAAGAGCTCGATTGGCGGTTGAAGTTTTCTGGATAAAAGTGGTACTAAATTACTGACATCACCGAAAAAAAAGAAAATTAAAAAAAGTTATGCTTTCGTCAAATCACGTACAAACATGGCGTTGAGTGAGTAGAAAAGTGATCAAGGTGAAGAAACAGAAGTAAAACTTGAGGAAAAGGAACAAAATAGGGCTCTCGACACTTTAATCAACTTGCTACGGTTTGAGATGCATGTACCTGGATATAAATTTTGCGGTCTTGGAACGAAGTAATCGAAGCGCATTGAGCACGGTGATGTGGGTATAAATCCCTTGGACGAAGTATTTCGTCAACACAATCTTGCCTTCGCTACGGAGAAGGAAAATCAACGTCTCAAATCTGATCAGGTCTTGGCTGAATTTGCTTTTCCGCGTATGTTTGCCAGAGAAACACCGCTGCGTAAGCAGTCGCTTTATTGACAGCATGCTGCATGTGTAGCAAGATTATATTTAAGAAGTTTTTTTTGCGCATCGAGAGAGCCATTAGATCTAAGTCCAAGAAGAAAAAGAAGAAAGAGAATAATGCATAAGACTTTACGAAAACTTTACTACGAAGTGGCGCGACCAACTGCATACTTTGATGATAACAAACTCGTGAGTGCTGCGAAAAACAAATTTTCGCGATCGAACGTTATTAGTTGGCTATAGAGTTAAGATACCTATAATTAACGTAGATCTATAAGAAATTGCTTTTCCGGAAGAAGCTATAACGTGCGTAACTTTGACAACGTGTGGGACGCTGATTTAATGAACTCAAAAACCTTACAAACTTACAATGATGGCTACGCTTATGTTCTTGTTATCATCAATATTGTCAGCAAATACGCTTGGGTGGTACATCTCAAAAATAGAACATCGAAAAACGTCGCCAAAGCATTTCAACATATTTCATAAAGAAGTAACGATCGTTCAACAATGTGTCTCCAAACAGATGATGGTAAAGAATTTGTAGGTCGTGAAATGCAATCCGTTTTACGAGAAAATTAAATGAAATACAGAGTAGCACGTAGCCCACAGATAAAGGCTGCAATAGCTAAACATTTTATGAGAACTTTTAAAGAAAGAATACGGTGATATTTTACACACATGAACAATCAATGCTTTGTAGACATTCTTTCAAGTATAACAGAGTCGTACAATTGCACAAAGCATTCATCGACAAAGATGACACCAGTTGACGTGAGCTTGCACAATGGTGCTCAAGCACGAGAAAACATGAAGCAACGTTATGACAGGCATATTTATGAAAGTCCAAAGCACAACGTCAGAAATTTAGTTCGTATCAATAAGACAAGAAGTGTCTTGGCCAAGGGTTATGAAAGCAGTTGGACTTTAGAATTGTGAAGAATTGAACGTATCTCTGGCACGCGAAAACCTCCAGTATATTTTGTAAGAAATTTGGCTGAAGAAGACATTGATGGTTTCTTTTACGAGAAAGAGTTAAGCAGAGTGCGAAATAAATTAAACGAAAGCTTTTTTGAGGTTAACAAGATATTAAAAAGTTGAGGTAAAGGACGTTCTGAAAAATATTCCGTCTTTGGGAAGGGAAATTCTGAAAAATTTAATTCCTAGGTAAAGAGTAATTATTTATGAGATATAAGATCAAGGACGAATTTAACGTTGTATTGCCTAGCAACAGTAGTATGCAGTATTATCCTGATAATACTACTGCTTACTACGTGACAAGTTTACCTCAGTAAATTAGTCTGCAAGGTCTATGAAGTGTTGGTATAACAAAGATTCAATGACCATTGTCGTTTTCACATGCAACAAAAAATAACAAAAGAAAAATTACCGTGAAGTGTACAACACGACTGTACAATAATGTGACAGAGAACATCCTATGCTTCATGTAGATAATTACATAGGACCCGGTCTATTCGCAAATATCGAAGAAATGATACAAGAAATCAATAGTTTGGATACTACGCAAGATCATATGGTTTTCAGTTTGAAAAGAAGTTTTTACGTAGTGGCTAAGTTAGTTCAAAGTTGTTAGCCCATGTATAGTATTTCATACTAAAGCTTTGTCAAAAAGGAGAGCAAAATATGCGCTCACGCGTTTCAAAGTGACAGCTGTGACTATGCATAGTAGTATTCATGCTGTAGCTTAAAAAAATATTATTTGGGCCAGTTACCTAAGCAGATAATCGTCGGTTTCGATGAAAATCAAGCTTATAATGGCGATCGCACTATGAATTCGTCTAATTTTGATAATCTTAATGTAAATTTTCTGTACTTGTACATTGACAGTATTCAAGTTTCTTCCAAACCATTACAGCCAGACCTTAAAATTAATAATTCATACGTAGATGCTTATCATACTTTGTTTTCAGGCACAAGCGTTTACTTTCTTAATAAAGGAAATCACATCGATCACGGATCTTATTCTAAAGGTTACTGTCTCTTTACTTCCAATTTAACACCGGATATATCGGCAAACAAATGTTTTCTTTAGAACCTAATTAAACATGGCAGTGTTAGATTAAACGTTCGATTTTCTAACGCTCTAACTTTGACTGCTTATTCTTTAGTGTATGCCAAGAACGAGAATATTCTCGAAATCGATGCGATAAGTCAAATCATGGTCAATTTTAGCGGTTCGATGGCACCACTAAGTACGTATACTTACACTTACTGCTTGGACATGACAATCGTCTCTTAATTTAGTTTTTTTTGGTACGCTCCATCATCTATAAATCGCAATAGAGCTAGTAGTTAATATTCAGTATTTGAAGGTGAAAAAAGATGTAACGATGTCGAAAGAAGTTGTTTTCGTTGCTTTGAACAATGATTTTTCCGCACATTGGGTAGTGACACCTCCTTGTCGCTTGCAAAAATTGAGTAATAAGGTAGAACGACAAAATATTTAGTTGTCCAAACATCATCATGCACTTGATGTCTTTGAGCGTAAAGTATCTTTTAACGCAATTTTTTTAATTTTGAATGATATTGGAAGCGGTGCAAGAAAAATTCGTGTCAGAGGTTTGCAAAAAGTATTACGATTTAGATAATAATTAACATAAACATTTACAAATATTTACATAATAATTAAGTGATAAATTTTAAATACTATATTGACTGTCCATTTTAAAAATATTTGTCATAGAAAGTGTATTGTATGCATCACGTATTAAAACCCAATCATTAAAAATATCGGTGTGGCATAAATAACGCTCATTAACTAAAATCTTGCCTCTGTTAACGTAATGGACAGCCTAATGATACTGCAAATCCTATCGCAAATCAAAACGCATACCACCGGTCAGTTCTCAGCCGATCAGATCCCACGGGTGTGGATGAAGCGAACAGCACTCGACATTAACACTAATAATTACACAAAACCAGGTATGCATTGGGTTCCTGGATACGTTAATGCAAATTCCAATGGTTTGTCTTTTGATAACAATGGTGTTCAACCTTATGTACTGCAGCACATTAATCAATTTCATAAAAATTGTAAGATACTGTACTAAAATGTCAAACAGATACAAAGTTACAAAGTTACAAAGCATATCTTTTATGGAATGTGGTTAGTTTTGTTTAATATTTTTGTTATACATGAGCAACGGTTTGAACATTCAAAAGTTTCTCGACAGTTTTTCTACAGATTTTATAAGAAAGATGATGGAATACCAAGACGTTTTATTTTATTAAGGTGTAGCAAAAAAATTTAAGAAGATCGGTGTTGGGTGGTAGCAATTATTTGGTAAAATGTTAACAAAAAAGTTTCGGTAAAATGTTTTTAATATAAATGTATCCATCGATATACTTGTAATTTGCAGTCTGCGCATTCTTAAACGTCTGAGGATAGAAATTTATAATACATTAATATGAAATCCAAAAAAAAACGATGTCAGCGTCTTGCGATCCTACTTCTGAATAATTATAGTTTGTAAAAAATTTCATATTCAGTGTTTTTTATCTACGTGCGATACACGATCATACTTTCTTGAATTAACGTTATCCTAAATGTCAAAGGTACAACTTCCAAACACTTACTCCACAGTCAAAAATCGATAATAACACAGTATAAAAAATTGGTTATTGGAGCATGACTTTATTTACACAACTAACATAAAAGCCAATATTTCAACGTCATGCTGACGTCATCCTCAGGGCAACGAACGAAATATATAAACAATCATAAATACATAATATCCAAAACAAATCATAAATTACTAAGAAAAGTTTAATATAATTACCAATGTAAGTGTTAGGATAAGACGTGGCATTGCAAACAAAGCAAAAAGATATTAGTACATAATGATCAACGTGAAGAAATTACATTTAATGAAAAGATTTTTGCTTTTACGAGGAACATAGTCAGAAACATTAAAATAAAAGACCATAAACTAAATGTAAGAAAGTAGACGCATACGTGAAATGTGTATAGCAAGGTAAACTGTAAGTACTATAGTGAGAAAAAATCAAAGATGATAAACTACCAATTAAATGTGTGTAAAATGTATAAAACTTATTAAACGTATGAAAATGTATACTACACGTGTAAAAAGACTTAATGTTGTTTTCGCATAACTTCTTGCCTTATATCTTGTAAAAAATTTTTGTAAGAAACATTCAGTTCGTTAGTATCAATCTGCCTATTTACATTATTATCATAAATAAAAATATGTATTATTCCAGAAAATTTGCGTTTGAATCTATTCTCCTCCCGGTCCAAAATTCTAAAATTAGTAAAATCAAATGTATGTTGAAATTGTATTGAATGAGAAGCAATGGCAGATTTATTTCTTATTGTTTTTGACCATTCGTAAGTGTTCACTTATACGAATGCCAAGCAATCTCTTACTTTGACTCACATAGCAAATACCACATTCACACAGAATTAAGTAAACTATGCCCCCCTTTTAAAGAGTAGGAGTTTTATTTTTACCTAATCGTATAATATTAGTAAATTTACATGAATAGTAAAAAATTACTCTCATATTAAATTTAGATAAAATCTTAGGGAAAGAACTTTCGAAGCACAGAAAATACGGAAATAAAATAAAAGGTGTTTCAGAACAAGAGTTGCGGTTCTCTAAACGACAACGGTCACAATCGGGTGTTGAGTCCTGAGATTTGTTGAACAATCTAATAAGAAAGCTAGTCCTCGCTTTAATGTATTTTTCAACAAAATAACCCTGATAAGCATTTTCAGCAAGAACCCTTCTAACCTTACAAATGTTTTTGGTCCTGAAACAACGATCAGCTAACCTAAAAACTTTGTCAATCAAAGAATAAACGATAGCTCTCTTCAGACAAACAGGATTATGCGAAAAAAAATTTAATAATCGTCCAGAAGAAGATAGTTTTTTACATTCTCATTCACACAGATACATTTACATTCTCACTTGTAGACTGAAAAAATGTTCAATGAGGTTGGAAAGGATTTTTAGTAGAAATTTTGTATTAGCTTTGGAAAAGTTCTCTTACAGGATGTACACACATTTCCATATGAATTTATTCTATAAGCTTGATAAGAAGTTTGCTTATTTAACATCACACAACACCCATAAACCTAATCGTAATTTTGTATGTCAAAAAAATCACTTTTCAACCACACACAGAGACAATTTTAATATGTTCAATGCGTTTAGAAATAATACTACCTTTCAATTTGTTAATAACTTGACGGATGTTCAACTTCCAGATTTTGTCAATTTTATTCTTAACATTGGTTCAAGATTTAATTTTTCCACAAATTCAAACCTAAAAATGACAGTGAATTTTATGAAAGCCATAGAGTCAACTTTAGTTTTTAATAAATTTGAAAATCCTATCTGTTCTTAAATTAGACAGTCTTGTCTTTCTATTTTAAAAAAAATTATTTTAAA